TCTCAAGTAAGTTAATAGGCTTTAATTTCTTAATTCCTTCTTAACAAGGTTCAAATAACTTTATCCACTGTGAATCTACACAGATGAAGAGCAGATACAGACTACAGTATGGAGGATTTATTAAGCTTGGATTTCATATTCTAGAAATATTTAACTTTATAGATTTTTATCAAACTAAATTATCAGAGCATCTCTTACAGAAGGGTAAGATTTTATGAATCCTGAATCCAATGAAAAAGCAATTTAATTTTTTTCTACGATTTATTTGTATATAGAGTTCTGTCTGCATGTATGCCAGAAGAGGGCACCAGATCTCATTGCAGATGGTTTTGAGCCACCACGTGGTTGCTGGGAATTGAACCCTAGTCCTCTGGAAGAGCAGCCAGTGATCTTAACCACTGAGCCATCTCTACAACTCCCACCAAAGATGGTGTTAATGATACAATATGAAAGCATTAAAAATGCTCATCTATATGTAATAGAAAAAGCAAGTTTTTTTAAAAAATAAGATCAATTTGTATCTTCAGAGCCATAGATTTTTTAATTTTTTATTTATTTTTATTATGTTTATTTGTATGTGTGTGCATGTACCTGCACACACACTTATGGTGCTGAATATTATTTTAACTGGGCAAAGAGGTGCTACATTTGTTTATGCTGTGTAATATTACTTTAACTGTGTAAAATATGTTACATTTGTTGTTTCTGCTGTTGCCTTTGTTAATGATGTAAAGATGTGTTTCATTTGTTTCACCTTGCCTGCCTAAGGCACTTGATTGATCTAACAAAAAGCTGAATGGCCAATAGCTAGGCAGGAGATGGATAGGTGGGGCTGGCAGGCAGAGAGAATAAGAAGGAGGAGAAATCTAGGCAAAGAAGAAGAGAGGGAAGAAGGAAGAGAGAATGAGGGAGAAAAAGAGGGACATGCCTGGGGTCAGAAGCTAGGCAACCACCAGCCAGACACAAGAAGCATTGGCAACAAGATAGATACACAGAAGGAAAGTAAGGTAAAAAGCCCCAAGGCAAAACTTAAAGAGAAACAGATTAAAATAAGAGCTAATATAAGGCTAAGTAAGAATTTGAAACTAAATAAGAAGTCTCTGTGTCTTGATTTGAGAGCCAGAAAGAAAAGCCCTGGTACACACTTGACCTGCTGAGGCAATTAATAAGCCCTAGACTTGATTTGTTTTTGTTTCTCAAGACAGGGTTTCTCTGTGTAGCTCTGGCTGTCCTGGAACTCACTATGTAGACCAGGCTAGCCTTAAATTCACAGATATCTGCCTGCCTCTGCCTCCTGAGTGCTGGGATTAAATGTGTGCTCTACCACCCAGCCAAGACTTGATTTTAAAATGACCAAAGCAATGAAGAGATATCATGTAGACAGATGAGCAGTAACTACAGAGAAAGCGATTGACCAAAGTTCATTTGTAAGCCACACCCTAAATAGATGTATGAGACAGAAAAAAAAAAAAAGCTGAGGGCCTTTGAGACAACAAAATAGGTCAAAATTACTTTCCACATAAACCTGATATCTTGAATTCAATCTAATAGCACACATCTTTAAAAATAAATGCTGGATTCAGTGGCACACCACCCCATAGTGGGATTCATTGCAGATGCAATGCCACACCACCCTACAGTGGGATGAGAGGCAGAGACAGGAGAGTCACCCGGAAGCTTAAAGGTCAGCTAACCTGGAGTTCAAGGATATATCAGAAACAGCATGGCAGAAACAAGAGAGACTGCCTCAACAGGAAGAAAGGTGAAAACTGACTCCTTGGGAAATTGTCCTCCCACCTCCACACACAGGCAGTAAACCACAAATGCCCACAGTCACATATAACACACACAGAGACGAGAGAGAGAGAGAGAGAGAGAGAGAGAGAGAGAGAGAGAGAGAGAGAGAGAGAGAGAGAGAGAGAGAGAGAGAGAGAGAGAGAGAGAGAGAGAGAGAGAGAGAGAGAGAGAGAGAGAGAGAGAGAGAGAGAGAGAGAGAGAGAGAGAGAGAGAGGCTCAACTTCAAAGCATTTTTTAAAGAATGAAAAATACAGTTATACAAATTCCATCATCAGTCAAAGGGTGTTATGTTTGAATGGTTTTAACTGCACAGGAGAAAAACAGAGGGAGAAATAATTTCAACAATGAGATCAAAAGGATACTAAGTAGTTGTGTTTAGAGTGGAAGACACAATTTGTAGAAATGAAATGTTCTGTTGTGCATTTCTCTATGGAGTAGTTAACCTCATGCACCCCAAGAAAGGCAAATGCTTTGACAAAAGATTGAGCCACAAACAGGATGACAATGACTTCAGGATAGAAAAATGGCTTGTGCTTGAGACAAACAATTACTGGAGATGTTTTAACAGTTGCAATGAGGAATAGCCACATGTTAAAAAAAACCATGTCTACAGCTATGAACAAGGTTACAGTGTCCTCGAGAAAGTAAACAACTTTATACTAGCTCAAACAAGAAAGGTGAACAGCCATGTTGAAATTTACCAAATTCACTGAATATCAATATTGTAACTTATGATATGCAAATTGCAGCATAAAGAATATATATATATATATATATACTGCTTTACCTCACAGAATGCCCAGAAAGTTCTTCCAAAGCGCTCTCAGTGTCCAGAGTCTGCTCATAGTCTCTAATAGCAAGTTTGCTGCCAGTCCCAAGTTTCTTCCCCTGGGAACCACGCTCTGAATCAGACTGTACTTTCTCATCATCAATAAGTGAGCTCTGAGCATTTCCAGTGATTGAATCCAACCCTGGAAAGCAAATTTTTGTAAGCAAATTTCCAACACTAGACTTACTGAGATAGCTGGTAAATTTTTTTTCAGTAATAAAAGTACAAATCAGACTATTTAAAAATTAGTTTATATTAAAAACTTATTTTCCATATCTAGAATAAAACAGTTCATTTTTCTGCCTCTATTTAAGGACCTAAATTAGTCAAATTTATAGTAGCAGAGGCTATCAATGGCTAGGGAGGGAAGAGTGGATATGCAGTGGTGATGTTTGCAAAGACAAATATAGTCATTGAACCATACTACCTGAAACTGATTTAAATGACTGGGTTTTTTATTTGTTTGTTTTTTTTCAAGATGGTATCTAGTGTAGCCCAGGCTGTCTTCTATCTCACTGTGTAGCTGAGGAAGACCTTGAACTTCTGATCTTCCTGTCTCTACCTCCTAAGTACTGGGATTACAGGAATATACCATCACACCACATATTATGCAGTGTGGGGATCAAATCTAGGGCTTTGTATATTCTAGGAAAGGAAACATACTCTACCAACTAGTTACTTCCTCAGCCTGATAAAATTCTGGTATGTATGTATGTATATATGTATTATTATTATTATTATTATTATTATTTTGGTTTTTCTGAGACAGAGTCTCTCTACACAGCCCAACTATCCTGGAACTCTCTATGTAGGCCAGGCCGGACTCAAACTCAAAGCTCTATCTGCCTCTGCCTCAGAAATTGTAAAATGTTAGCACTGGAGTCTTTACATACAGAAATTACAGGCAATTAAAACTTTTTCAAATATAGTTTCTTATTCTGAATTCCTAGTCCACCTCACATTTTTCAACTTGATAAACAGTTTATCTTTTCAATTAGAAAAAAAAAAGAAAAAAGAAAAGAAAAATCACTCCAAAGCTTAAAACCATTTTGTAAGCTTAAGAAGTTTTTGCATGATCACTTTATCTCTCTAGTTGTAGGTCTATAGACAAAACATGGGACTGGGAAGACCTCTCACTGGGCAAAATGCTTGCTTCCCAACCATGAAGACCCATGTAAAACCAGGCACAGTGGCATACATCTGTAATCCCAGCATGTAAACAGTAAGATGGGAGTAGAGAATCTTCAGAAGCTCCTGGGCCAACTAGCTTGCTGTACTAACTGTCAGACATCATGTCTCAAGGTGGAAGGGAGAACTAAACCCAAGGTTGTAGGCTGACCTCAACACACAGACACGAATCATGCATACACATATAGTGATTTTTTTTAATAGAGTAGAACTACAGACATTGGCAGGTATCTCAATCACTCAAAAATTTACTGAGCGCCAACAGGGGCAACTACTATGTTAAGTACTGTGACACACACATTATCCCAGTGATTTCTCATACTCTTCAGAATCTGCTATACTGGGGAGGACCATGTTTGATGATGCCAGAAATGGACATGATACACTACCAAGTTCTTTGTTTAACACAGTTACAAAGCAAGATTATTTGCATAATAATATTGCTTTTGTTTTAAAATAAAGGTGTGTGTGGCTTCATGTATATATTGGAAAAAGCCATTAAAAATTATAATAGCAGTTGCCTCTGTTTTAACAGAAGGATTAAGCAAAACTCATATTTCTTTTTTAATTTGTGTTTATTAGTGCATGTGTATGAAAGAGAAAGAGAATGTGCATACAGAAAAGAGTTCATATACAGAGGTCAAAAGACAACTCTGGGTCCTCTTTATTCACCTTTATATGGGCTCTAGGGATCAAACTCATGTCAGGATTATACAGCAGGTACTTTTACCCAATAAACCATCTCCATATTTTGCTAGCCCTGATTTATATTTCTTGATGAGTATCTGAAATTCTTAAATTTTTAATTATATATTCCATTTATATTAAATATAAAATGAAAAATATAAAATTAAAGAACATAAATATATTAAAAAGTCTGGCAAAAGATAATTACAAATGTGAACGCTATATACATTATCATAAATAAATTCACCTACTACTTATAGAATCAAACTATAACTTTAGGTCACTACCACAAAACCACTGAGAAGAGAAAAAGTCATCAAGCAGAATTCTACTTACAATCTATCTTTTCCTTTCTTCCTTTCTTTCCTTTAGAAGCAGATGAACGAGATGATACAGCAGACTGAGCTCCTGAGGAATGCTGAGAGGCAGCATCCACAGAGGAAAGATCGAAGGCAGACTTTCTGCTGGAATGGTCCTCCTGAATGCCTAAGTTGCTGCCACCAATTCTGGCAAGAAGAAAGTAACAGGTTAAAGAATAAGTTAAAAGTCTGAGGTCACAAATTCTATTCTAAAGAAGCTCTGAATACCTCGAGCAGATGCCACAAGCAAAGCTTACCCTAGGAAGTAGAAAAAGCAACAACAACAAACATATAACAAAAGGTACACAGATTAAATAGTGGCAGACATGCCAACAAATAGTGTAAATGTCTGATTATTTTATCAATTTTAAAAGGTTCTCTATGGCTCAGTTTACTACTCAGATTTTCAGACAAGTTGTTTATGAAGTGAAAACAAAATAATGTTTCAGGCCTAGTTGGCAATATCTGTGTAGCATGCATGAGGCCTGGACTTGGTCCACAGAACCCCAAAACCTAGGAAGGTGGAAACAGGAGAACCAGAAATTCAAGGCCAACCTGAGCTACATAATCCCTATCTTAAAAAAGAAAAACAAAAACAAAAATCAAATATTTCAGACATATATGAGAAAAAAATATGATGTTGACTATGGGAAAATGTGGCCTCAATAAATTTATACTTTTATACAGCACAATTATTTTTCCTCTGATACTCTTAGAGAAGAATAATTTAATATATTCTACTTTAACAGTAAAATGCATCAAATCATATTGACTGATGATATTAATCTACCACAATTTAATTCTTAAAAACCTAAATTTAAAAATCTAATCCTCGGGTTCAAATATTTTTTTATTTACTCATGTATGTGTGTGCTGCTTTCATGCACCTCAGAAGAGGGAGTCAGACTGCACTGCAGGTGGTTGTGAGAGGTGGTCGTGAGCCACCATGTGGGTGCTGGGAATCGATCTCAGGTCCTCTGCAAGAGCACTGATTGCTCTTAGCCACTGAGCCGTCTCTTCAGCCCCATTCCCCACTGGGTTCAACTTTTAAACTACAATTTTCCTGTTATACTTTCATAAATATTCATTTCCACTACTCCAGCTAGTGGAAAATTACAACTAATTTTTATAGGATTATTTAATGATTTTATGGGGCTATACAATTATGATACATAAAAAGATACTGAATAGGAAGAATTATAATTTTATATGATAATAAAATTTAGGGAACAAAACTCTAGAAAAGTCAAATTCATTTTGTGATTTCGTAAAATTTAACCTCTGTTCTTCCATTTTTTCTCTAAAAAAGGTATTCTCAGAATATATTTCCCAAATCAGGCTATTGTAAAATGAACTATATAGGCAAAGTCCTTGTATCCTTTCAGTATCTTGCACATTAAGGACCCAATAATCATCAGTCGCTGTAATCTATCTTTTCAAAGCTTAGATGGTGAGTGGATATTAACATTTTAGATATCTTCTCAATTTAAAAAATTATTACTTAGGGTCACAAAGTTAAATGTCAACCTTATTTTCCTCATCTACCACAAAAAACAAATTTTTACACTTCGTATATTAATATGTAGTGATATTTTGTTTATGGTCTAATAAAGCTTGCCTGAAGATCAGAATGCAAAGCTAGCCACAGCCATAGAGGCCAGGCAGTGGTGGTACACACCTTTAATTCCAGCACCTGGGAGACAGAGGCAGATGGATCTATGTGAGTTCAAGGCTACCCTGGGCTACATGAGAGTGAATCAGTCTAAAACAGAAACAGAACTTACACCTGTAATCCCAGCACTAGGGAGGAGTATAAGACAGAAGTTCAGGGTCTCAGTCTCAGTCTGTATTCAGCCTGCAGTGTCAGTGAATCTGAGTAGCAGTGCAGTCGGGAGCAGTCTGAGGTTAAGTGGATCGCCCTTTTGAACTGTGCACTGGCAGATGAGAATTCTCTATTGGGTGGCTGCTTTGCTCATCTGATCTTCTTTTTGAACCCCAATATCTGTCTCTGGGTTTTTATTATTTGTGCTACATATATATGTTGCAAGACTGTTTCCCAATGCTATCTTTTGTGGGAAATTCACAGATTGACTTATAATCTGTATGTATTAGGTCCTGTTTAAGTATTCTCTGTTCCATTCAACAGGTGTCGAGGCACACTCAGGTGGTCCCCAACACACTTGAGAACTGGAGGAAGGAGGATCAAGACTTTAAGGTTATCCTTGGCAACATGAGACTCTATCAAAAAAGAAAAGAAAAGTGTATATTTCACTAGATATCTGTAACAACCTTGTGAGGTCAGTAGATTCTACTATTTTCACCATTATGCATAAATACAAAAAAGCATTAATCAAGGAGCCAAGTATCAACTCAGGTCATCTGCATGCAGATTCTGGTCTACAGTTATATAGCCTTTATATGTCAGTCAACAAGAAAGATGCAACTTGTATTCTGACTGGAGTATACTTTTTTCTACTCAAAACTTTATTCCACATTTGCTATCAAATTCTTACTGAGATTCCAGAGTTGATTTTTTTTCTGTCAATGTCCCAGTTCCTGGAGAGGAGACAAAATCATCTTCATAGGAAATACTGCTGAGTGGGGTTGTGGTGGCATTTAAAGGCCGTGATGCTGATGTTCCTCTGTCTTCAAATCCTATCAAAAGAAATAATTGTGGTGTGGTTAAAAACAAAATGAAATTTAGAACTACAAGCAAAGCATTCTCCAGCTTGGAGTTATTAATCTAAGAAAAAAAGGGTCAATTTCATTTACTAGCCATATAGGCTTTTTTTTTTTTTGGTTTTTGGTTTTTGGTTTTTCTGAGACAGGGTTTCTCTGTGTAGCCCTGGCTGTCCTGAAACTGGCTCTGTAGACTAGGCTGGCCTCGAACTCACACAGATTTGCCGGAGTGCTGGAATTAAAAGCATGGGCCACTATACACGGTTGTCTTCATTTCTTTTTAGGAAAATTTTGAAAATAAATAAGCAAAATGAAACTACTGTATCCATTAGTAGCTTTAACAATGATCAATAGAAAAGCAAGCTAGCTTCAATTAAACCATCTACACCTCTCTTTTCTACTGTGATCCTACAGATTATTTTGAAGCAAATCCCAAATAACATTTCATCTCCAAATATTTTAATATAACTATAAATTTTAATGATGATCTAATATACGAATATAATAATGAAACCAATTTTCTTATTAAGTAATAAGAATGTCAAGATGGAGAGATGACTGAGCAATCAAGAGCACTGACAATCTTCCAGAGGACCTGGGTTCCATTCTCAGCACCCACAGAGCAGCTCACTATCATTGTAACTCCAGTTCCAGAGGCTTCAAAACTCTCTTCTGGCCCTGCTAGAGCACCAGGCAGAGACAGACATACATTCAAGCAAACCACCCATAATACATAAAATTAAAGCATTGATTTAAGCACTTTGCTTTTCATCAAAAGAAAGTGAAAGATCATTAGAATCAGAAGGAATTTACAATGACAACTGCCCTTGTTTGCTTGATGCGATAAATACCTTAACTAAAAACAGCCTGGGGAGGAAAGGAATTATCTTACCTACACTTCCAGGTCACAATCCATAATTGAGGGAAATTGGGAGGAACTCAAGAAGGAACAGAGGCAGGAACTGCAAAGGAAGGCTGCTTACTGCCTTGCCCTATTGCTGACAGACTCAAGTTAAGCTAGTGTTTTGTTTTGTTTTGTTTTTTGTTTTGAATATAGCCTAGGCCCACTCGAATTGAGATAGTACCACCCAAAGTGGGCTGGGACTTTCTACATCAACCAATAAAACCAGACAATGCTCCACAGATACACCCACAAAGTCAGTCTGATCTAGGCAAATCCTCAAGAGAGGTTCTCTCATCCCAGGTGACTTAAGTTTGTGTCAAGTTGAAAACAAAGACTAGCCAGGACAACCACCAATATAAATAAAGTAGCTAAACAAAAGAGAGGAATTATTAATACATAAGTTCTCACAAGATCATAAAGTGCCTAAATGCGAATTTTAGGAAAACACAATGTAATATTCAGTTGAGTGTAAGAACAGATGGAATCAAATAATTAGTCAGATAATTTGCTCCACTTATAGAGTAAAAATGTACAACCTAGGAATTCCAAGGTTATGTTATTATACATTGAGTGGACTTCATCTATAATAAAAATAGAAAGGGAGCTGGGCAGTGGTGGTGCACGCCTTTTATCCCAGCACTCAGGAGGCAGAGGCAAGCGGATCTCTAAGAGTTCAAGACCAGCCTGGTCTACAAGAGCTGGTTCCAGGACAGCCTCCAAAGCCACAGAGAAACACTGTCTCGAAAAAAACCAAAATAATAATAATAAAAAAGTAAAATAAAAATAGAAGGGGGCATAACTGAAGGAATTAATGTTGCCACAGAAAAAGAAGGCTGTGTTACAAAATTTCAGTATTAAGAGAGACCATGGATTAAAGGAGAAAGAAAATTATGAAATAATTGTCTTAGTATAGTATAAGTCTATTTTCTCACCTTTGCCATATAACTGATATGACTTGGTAAAAATATTAATGACACTGTGTGGACTTCCCTTTGCCAGTTCTTCCCATGGTCCCTTACTTTGTGTACCACCTATGTGGCCCAAAAGTGGCAAGAATTTCTCAGCTTCCTTTTGAAACTCTTTGATGGGCTCATAAGCATTTCTCTCTCCAGCACAGAAGTCTTTTTCCTTTAAGACTTCTGCTACCTTCAGAAGTGGCCGTGCATCCCGGCCTCCTTCTTCCTCAGAGAGACTCCCTTCACTAAGAAGAGGCCCTTCACTGACTGAGTCTGTGCTGGAACAAAGAGATCTTTTGGCTCTTTCTTGAGAACAGGCTTGTATATCAGAGCAGGAGTCAGTCTGCCTCTTACACAACTGTGCCAGCAGTCCTCCTGGTTTAGGACTAGGGGATGTCATTCGGAAGCTTGATATGGCACTCTGGGGTCTGATCATCTCAGGAAGTTTTTTAAATTCACTAAGACTGCCTACACCAGGAAGATCATCATCAAAAGTTGCATGAGATACACAGGTTCCCAGCATCTTCTGAATTCGGGCAGAGAAAACATCTTCAATGTCCTCTTTCACAGGTGGACTGATAGCTTTAGTCCACAGTCCGTTCTCTTGAGGTGCCTGTTTCACATCATACTCAGTGTTCCATACTGACCCATAGTTAATGCTGGCCCCAGCTAGTTTCTTAGCTTCACTTTCAATCCTGCTAGACAGAGAAGCAGCTGTTGCTTTCAAGGCTTCAATACGATCCAGTTTACTCTTATATTGGCTGGTACTAGGTTTTAACAAGGCATCTGGATGAGGAGCTTGTGAGGTCAGATATGGTTGAGGTGTGAAAGTTATCGGTCCTGAAGCCTTATTAAGACTCTTCTTGGCTGGTAAAACAGAGTCATAGTCCTTGTGCAAAATTCCTACATGCTCAAGATTCAAGAGATGGGAGAGCAAATTTTCAGCCGTTCCAACAAGTGGCTGTGCTTGAGAACTGTGAACTCGTGGGCTCAACCTGTCAGGTTGCATCCATGTAGATTCCATCAAGTCTCTTCTGGTAATAGAAATCACAATGTTAGTTAATACAATAATCCATATGTGGTTTTGTTTGTTTGTCTGCAGTGCTAGCAATTGAGTCCAAAGCCTCGTTCGTTCATGCTGGGCAAATATTCTACAATGAATCTATATCCCCAGTCTAAACCATCATTTAAAAAGGGGAAAGGAGCTCTCTGATTATAAGAATACTATAAAAACACTTCCAGAAAAAAAGGCATAAGGGTTGAGAGTAAGTGATTAGTCAGAAATAATCAGTCAAAAAGTCATAATTATCTTTGGTAGCTGGTTTACAATTATATCCTTGCTAACTTTTTTATCTATGTACACTCTGTGATTTTGTTATGGTGTTTGCACAAAATGGTATGTCACTACTTGTACTGTTTTGCAAACTGCATTCTTCAAATAAAAGGTCTTATTTTTTCCAATGACTTAAAACTCTGCAGACAAGTTTCCTTAGAACAATATATACCTCTATCCAACCCTTTAAAAATAATAAATAAAATAGAAATGTTTACAATTGCTTAATACTGGGACCCATCAAATGATTCAGCAGGTAAAAACCTCTGTCATTCAACCCGAGAGAAGCCAAATAAAGATGGAAGGAACTGACTACAACATGTGCACCTTAGCATATATGCCTACACACATATAACACATGGTACTTAATAAAGATATATAAATTTTTAACTAAAAAAATAGAAAATTTTAAAAGGGGAAGAAGGAAGGGAAGAAAAGAAAGAGGAAGTGGAGAGGCTGGTGCAAAGCAACAACAGACTTGTGCTTGGTTTGTTTGTTTATTTATTTATTTATTGTGTGTGCAATGTTATGACTATCATTATAGATGGCTTTGAGCCACCATGTAGTTACTGGTAAGCTAATGCTCTTAACCTCTGAGCCATCTCTCCAGCTCTTGGTTTGTTTCTTAACATTATTCAGAATCAGAAACTCAAAAAAAGGCAAAAATTGTAGGCATGACACAAGCCCAGTAGGTCTGACAATAGGATCTAAACAAAAGTGTTCATAACAAAAAAAAAAGTAATTTATAATTTAAGTTTTACGAGACAGGGTTTCTCTGTTTTGGAGGCTGTCGGGTCCAGCCTGGCCTCGAACACACAGAGATCCGCCTGCCTCTGCCTCCCGAGTGCTGGGATTAAAGGCGTGAGCCACCAATGCCCGGCAAAAGTACTGGCTTTTAAAGTCAGATTGCCAGAGGCAGGCAGATCTCTGTTGTGCATTCAAGGCCAGTCTGGTCTACAATATGAGTTCCAGGACAGCCAGTGCTACACATAAAGAAACCTGTCTCAAAAAAACAAAACAAAACAATAAGGTCAGATTGCCTACGCTCAAAGACACTTCCACAACAAATGTTTCAATTTTGAGAAGGTTTAATTAAAGTCTAGACTTCAGTTCTCTTCTCTGTAGAACAGTAATAACAAGAGTGCTTAGGGCTGTCAATGAGCTTCAGTATTAAACCACTTACCTAAAAGACATAGCACTGGGCTTCATCCTAGCTTTATAAAACAAATAAAATCAAACTAAAACCCAAACAGCGTTTTTCACTAAAAGGATTTGATCAGCTCCAGGTCTAGTAACTAAGAAACAATAAAAGACATCAATCACTGGGAGCTAGTGAGATGACTCTGAGGTTAAAAGCACTTCTTTTGGGCTAAAGAGATGGCTCTGAGGTTAAAAGTACTGGCTACTCTTCCAGGGGACCTGGTT